CACGTGAACAAAACCCAAGGGAACATATGGTACAAGTCATAATAGGTAATTGCATCGAACTTCATTTTTTGTCACTGATGCATTAAATCTGGAAATGTCCTCAAGATACCTTCGATAAAACAGTTTGAAAGCTTTAGTAAGGCCCTGAATACTGATAAAAATTTGAGCAATAGTTGTATGACGATCTTTGAAATCGTGGTAGAAAGACCATACTTAATTGTCCCTCAAAGTTGTGATATGTAGAAACGAAAGGTTTGAGCTGCTAGCATATTATTCGACAGGTGAGGTGAGGTGAGGTGAGGTGAGGTGAAAGGGGTTTAACATCGCGCTTTTCGCTATCAAAGGAAAGTTGACGGTTGAAAGTCCAGTAAAGTTTTTATTGCAGAAATACTGAAAGGTCACAGGCATACAGTATAAATATGTGTGGATAGTAGATGAAAGTAGTAGACGTTGACATATTGGAGACAAAATAATGACAGTTTGTGACTTCGATAAATCAGAAGTTCTTTAGTATCCAAACAAGTATTTGGATGGGCTAGGGCTCTAGATAGTATTGAAAGAAAATGCAAGGACAGTTGACTCGACCCAGCTTATGACTACACCCATGGCCCTGTCTTTGTTTAACCAGCTCTCGATTTACTGAAGTACATCCATTTTCAAATACCCTCGTTTTTGTGCTAACACTTTAACACGATTTTGCATGATATTGTTCTGGCATTTTTATGTGACTTTGTAATCCTCGAACTCATTACAACGTCATCAGCAAATAACAGCAAAGCTATTCTAAAAGTATCTACGTGTAAGTGTAAAGACATAGTTTAAATGTTTCTGCATAGATCTACATGTAATATGAAGCACGAGTCGAACGCTCTTTGAAAACTTAGTTGAAGGAGCATGCTCTTAGACTCTTCAAACAGAATGTTAATCCCAGAGAATAATCAGTCTCTAATATCTGTCAAAACGGATTTGATTGGTTGTGAATGGCAAAACGGTGATTATGACATGAATGGATCACTGAAAGTCAGTGATGACACCAGGAGTTCGCGAAAAGGCTAAGCATGACCTGCTCTACCAGTAGCACCCGCCACTCAGACAATTTGCATAAAACAGTACAGTTTGATTGCTGCCTAACGTCTGCATTTATGTTGTTTTAGCTGCATTAAATCTATCAATAAGCTTTTGTAATAATTAATCATTTGTTAATTGTTTCAATTTATATTATCAATTATATCTTGGAAGTTACCTGCTACACAAATCCATCTCCATTGTGGACTATGCCAAGTGTGGTCGACAGATGATAGCTGCAAGCTATCACAGACACCAGGGTAGTGTAAGTATAGCTGAAGGTCACGGATGTGTATTCTCTGATTTGACAGGCACCAAGTGGTGATGAATGGATTTTCACAGGACTGACAATGGTGCGTGTGAGATTCAGTGTGAATTATAATATCATATTTCAAATTTTATTTGTTCTACTCAGGACAATGACCTGCTGATATAATTAATAGTTTTCACTACATTTTCACATACGTGATTTAAACAATATTATATTCAGGAATGATAATTAGTTACAAGAAATGGATTGGTGAAGAGACAATGTATATCTGATAAAATATACAAAGACATGTCCTTTTTGAAATCACAAATGTGCCTTATGAATATGGAAAGGGTTTTGTCGCTTTTATTAACACAAAAAGACAGATAAGCTTTGGTGTGTACCCTTCGAGCGAAAAGCGTGTTTATAAATTTGCAAATTTAGCCACGTTACATAACTATTTCACAAACTTTTATATTCTTATGAAATAACAAAGAGTACTATTGGTAATTGTAAAAGGCAAACTAACAATTTCACAAGAGATGATTGTAATTGATATCATTAAGTAAAAGATAAATAATACGACTTTACATTGATCAGGTAAACAATAAAAACAATGTAACAATTGGACTGAAGTACCTTAAAGCAAATATATGAAAAGAATAATTTCACCGACATCCGTGCCCCCATATATAATATTAAACTATAGATTAAGATCTTTTAGTGACATTTAGAAGTTGGCTATCTAACCAGTGACGTAATATTGCAAAATGTAAATATATAGGTTGATCGTAAATACAAGATGTGTATTGTATGGGCATATATGCTTTATTCGTTCGCATCAAATGGAAAAGAAATCCCACGCAGACACATATCACTTTACTCTAAATATGTACCCACATCAGTCGGCATTTGAAATACAGATTTTTCTTTGAAACACCACAGCCACAGTTCACAGAATCTTGGTTTGATGATGTAGAGGATTTGAAAGTCACGTACACGGACTATATTTTGTATATAAAATAGTCCATGAATGATTAAGCCTTGCTCGGCCGCCAATCTGACATATTATATGCATGTGTATATATCCATCCCGAGGGATGGTATTAAAAACATTTTGTCTGGCATCACTATGTTTCAGAACAGTTTGTTGGACATATCATCAAAATAAAGAGATGCTATCGTTATTTGTGGTGGAGACGAAAACGCCAGAACAGGACCGAGGTCTGATTTTGTAGAAGATGACATTATAGAATATATAGAAGGGCTGTGGCAAGGCAACTCAAGCTGGGATTTTATGTGCGCAATTTTCAGTTGAAATCGTTTCATAAGTATTAAAAATGTTAAGAACTTTGGTAAATGATTGTAAGAGTTGTGCTCGTGATGCAACATTCATGTCATGAACGGAAGATCAGAAACTGACGGTGAAATTGTGGATTATACATTCATTGGGAAAAAACGGCGCAGGCGTATTAGATAATAAATTTGCATTTGCAGCACTGTTTTAGCTTGCCAATGACTTTTCTAACCACGTGTGGAGTCACCTCATCTTCCGTGTAAATAACACTGGCAACAATCAAAACTCATGCAGATCAAAACTGTACTTCAAAAAGTTTGAATTATTTAGGGAAAACATTACCGATCATATACAAGAATTACTTGATGAATCAGTTGATATGAGATTTAGTGACATTGATAGAAGTATAGAGTTTAATACAGATGCATTATGTGCCGCGGCAAATGACACGAAGAAGCCAGCTGGAAGAAGTAAATACAATAATGAATGGTTTCATACTGGACGTGAACAGTTGAATCGTTAAAGAATGTAACTACATACTATAAATATTTGAGTGTTTTTCAGTAAAAATCTAAATTGGTCTATACATGCCAGAGAAGCATCAGTCCACGTCAAAAAGATTTTATTTGGTATTTTGAAGACTATAAAAGTGCTTGGTTATAAACGTTGCATGTCATACAAGTTCTTTAAGATTTGTTATGTTGGAATTAAACCAATTTTACTTTACGGTGCTGAAATATGGGGAATAAAACAATTTAGTTATATCGAAAAATGTGTATGCATGTAAAAGATTTCTTGGTGTAAAAACCAAAACATCTCACGCAATGGTTTATGGAGAATGTGGTAGATTTCCTCTATTTATATATTCACAGCTTAAAGTCATAAAGTACTGGCTGAAACTCCTGAAAATGAATTCATTGAGATATCAAAAGAAATGTGACAAATAACATGATTAAGATACGAATGGAAAGAAAAACTGATAACAGATGTGAAAAATTGTGTTCAATAATGGTTTTGGAAATGTTTGGTATGCACAATCTGTACCAACTGAAAGTGTATTTATCAGTTCTTTTCTACAGAGACTAAATGATCGTTTTCCTTGACATTATCGACCAAACTGTATATTATAGAATGTTGAAAACTCATATACACACAGAACAGTTTGTTTGTTTGTTTGTTGATTAACGCCGCACTCAGAAATATTCCAGCTATATGACCGCGGTCTGTAGATAATCGAGTCTCGACCAGACAATCCAGTGATTGACATCATTAGCATCGATCCATGCAATTGGGATACGATGACATGCATCAAACCAAGTCAGCGAGCCTGACCACCCGATCCCGTTAGTCGCCTCTTACGACAAGCATAGTCGCCTTTTACGGCAAGCATGGGTTGCTGAAGACCTATTCTAATCTGAATCTTCACGGGTCGCAGTCAAATCAGATGTTTTAGTCACATGTGGTTATAATGATTGGAAAACCGCTGACTGACAAACGAGAACTGAGTAGATTCCAACGCTACCCTTTGCGTTCCAAATTCAATTTAGTTCGGTTAAATCGACAGTTGACCTAGCTCTACATTGCAAACATTTATTTCTTATTATTTTCTTAATTTCTTATTTCTACACGATAGATTTTATTACCCACAGTGAAAAAGGCAAAGTGATCACTGGTTGACGACTATATAAAAAAAACCCGTCAACACCAGAGAATAACCAGTCTCGATTATCCACCAAAACAAATTCCATGGGGCGATAAAGGCAAACTAGCGGTGAAAGTTATATGAATGGATCACTTAAAATCAGTGACGACACCGCTTCTTGTTTTAACATCGACATCAATGATGTTTAGTGATCCATTCGTAAATGTCCATCACTACTTTGCCCTTTATGTCTTGTGGAATCTGTGTTGACGTTTTCAGTAAGCATATATATATATATGCACACGCCCGTAGCTCACAGAGTATGACAATTTCAGGGTAAGAATGAACTTATTGCTCTTTATCTTCGATCTTTGCACTTTCCAAGCTGATTCTAGTATTTATTTTGCGACGCGGGTGGCCACATTGTCTAAGGTGCAACAATACGTTGTGCAGAGTTGCTTCCCAGGAATCACAGGATTGTCTGGTCCAGACTCAATTATCTACAGAAAGCTGTCGTATAGCTGGAATATTGCTGAGTGCAGCGTTAAACAAAGAAAACAAGCCAAGAAATCAGATTACTCAATTGTGAAGCAGTCAACTGGAAACCTCAGGCGTCCGTCTATACGCTGACAGTGAAGTGAACGCTGGAGCACTTGTTCTTGTCAGCGCGTGGCTAAGTCTGCTAAGATGCTCTGCGTACAATGTACGTCGACATTGGTAATTAACCACAAATTACAAATTCATTGTTTATAATGCCCTGACTTTATTCATGTTATCAATTCCACATTTCGAACAGGATCCGGGGTATGGGATGGTGCCAAGGAATCTTCAGAAACGCTTCACTCTGGAAAAAAGGGAGATAAGAACTGTATCCATGAATGTCATCTCCGCCTGTTTGTCGCGTATGATCATCCCGTGTTGCCCCGTGATATAGCTGGAACATTGCTGACTTCATAGTTAAATACCATTCACTTGCCTCTCAGATCATTCTCGATTCTCGATTATTTGATAAATACTCTTGGCCAATACGCCACGTTCCATATCATCATTCTGAGGACAATTAGAATGACACGATTCTAGAAATAGTCGTCCAACCCAATGACACAAATGAGAGGGCAAACTTGGTTATTGATACGATGGGGATGGTGACGTCACTTCCGACACGAATCCATGGATGGCAAATTGGTCCAATAGAGTGGAGACATACACTGGACATTCGAGAATGCCCTCAGCATACGTAGTCCATGTCGTAGGTCAACAGAGGAGTCATGTACATGTACGACCAACACGCCAAAAGCCAATGTGCCGTGTGTTTGACTGCATGATCAATGTCACCACTGTGCTGAAAAGAATGCGATTCCTTCCAATGCCTAGCAACCGTTGGGCTGAATATCTGTAACCACCGCTGATATATAAGTACCATGCCATAGCTTTCTTAGTATTCAGTTCAGGTAGTTTAGACCAGGAATGCATAGACTGCTTATCTTTCGGAAGATCCTAACGTACTTGGAGGACTCGTTCAAAACTTTGAATCATTGTATTAAAGGGAAATACGTTACCTTCCTCGTGATCCAAATCCTCTCTGCGTTGACGTTGGTGGAGACTGAAGTCATCATTGTCTGCCCCTTTGAACAAAAGGAGAAGACTACATGTGATGTCATGGTTTACACGATTTTGCGGTCAAAATGAAAATAACAATAATATTTTAAAATCATATGATCAGGCAGGTGAAGTGATGTTTTACAAGTCAAAGCGTTGACTACAACAATTTAACTATAAGGAACTTAAATACAGAAATAATATAAAATATATGGCTTTAAATTAAAAGTATTACAGTCAAACAGCTAAAGTTAATACCATTTCCCGTTTCGACAAATACAATCAAGAAATTCAATGAAGGTGGCATATGTTTTTGGAATCCAATTGAGTGAGAACCATTCACGGTATTACCATTGCTTGCCGAATTTACACCTGATGAATTGAGTGTCTGCCATGGATGGCAGGAGGAGATGATTGACCGAACTGAATATTACTCCAATTCGACAGTTTATCACAGCTTGGTCCACGCTTTGCCGTGTATGCGCCAAAACGAGACAGTACCCCCAAGAAGGTATTTGCATCCTTTACCTGAGATGAAGCCGTTCTCGATGAGGTCCTCCACGTCTCTGGTTGCCAGTGTCTGCAGTATCTCCTCGTCACTGACATCAACGTCATCATCAACGTCGCCCACAGTTATATCTCGCTTACCTAGGTATGTACAAACGTTATATAATTCAAAGATACTTGCTGAAGAAACTAGAAACTTGAGAGCCCTGAGACAATGTCTGCAACATCAGCTGTACTTGAGATCGTTTCTTCAAGGGATCCGGCCACCCCCACACCCACACCCACACACACACACATCCACGATCCCCTCACACAGACGTATGTTGGTGTAGGCGCTAAAATTGACTGAGAGAGCATTTTGCTTATTTGGGCCCCTTCCCTTTAAAAAGTTACCTATGCATAAATACAAAAGAGTAGATTTCTATGCATAGATTTCCTGTTCGTCTTGAAGCTTTAATATTTTGATATTCCTTATTTTGAATACGATGTTCCCTAACACTTGTTCCGGTCATTCCATCTGCACAACAAGCCGACACATTATATTTGTAGCTAATTAATTTGAAAACAGAATTTAGAAAACAACTTTCCTACACCACCATTTCTACCCGACACTACATGATTCCGCTTCAGTGTGCAACTGAATGTTGTTTAATTCCCCAGTCTGTATTATTCCAGCTTTATGAGGACTGCCTGTAAATAATCTTGTTTGAACCAGGCAAACGGTGACTGAAATTATGAGCGCAGACCACGTCATCCGGGGACGAGTAATGGGGGACTATCGTGGGCACGGTTAGCCAAGATTGTGTCGATGTAATATGGTATACAAGAAACAACCTACTCACCAACAACAAGCCTTCTGCCAACGGTACGTACAACCCTTGAAGCCGTGTTCGTGACAGTACGGGCAACCCTTGTCGCCGTTCTGGCCACATCACGAACTATTCGTCTTATTCCCCAGGATTCTGCTCCGGGCAGGGCCACCACGACAGACAAGACCAGGAGGATGAGTGCGATCTTCATCTGTGTAGAACCGAGTAGAAAATATTTCATGAATAGGACAATTATTACAAACACTGATGATTCATCGAGTAGATGATCAGGGTCTTATATGTTAAGAAATACAATGTACGTTTCCTGTGTCCTGCATCGACACACTGTACGTCGAATGTCGGCTCTGTGTTTTGGATTTGTCATAAAAAAAATATATTGTTTCCGAAAATGTTTGAAAAAATAATTATACTTTAGATTGTTGGAAAATGAAGACATTGTTGTGAGGTGTTTTTTACCTTAATAAATCAACATCCCAGTTATAAATTAAAAAATAATCTGGAATTTTAGCTGAAGGTGACAAAAAATATTTAGCCTTGATACAAATCACAGCCCGAACCTTCCGCTCTACCACTAGGCCACAGGTGCGGTCGAGGGGGAAGCCCAATCGAGTGAGTGAATGTTATTTAATGCCACAGCCAGCACTATTCCAACTATATCCCGGCTGCCTATTTGAGTCTAACTGAATCTCTTTAAGGAAACCCAGTACTACATAAAATAAGCAACGATCCACGCCATAACATTCATTGAGAAATGTCTGACCATACGAAGCAGACTAGTCGCCTCTTACGATCAATGATGAATTGCTGCGGATGTATGATGTATCAATGACACAAGTATAAAACATATTTACCTTTGCAAGTTGAATGCTAAATGACGAACTGTTGTACAAATGTAATTCCGAGTGGGGTATATATAGCGTGCCAGTAATTACATGCCACCTGACGACATGTTTACCTTCAGGTGTTTTCACGTGTTGATATTACACAGGTGAAAAATCACCGGTCTATGTGGGTTGGCGTTCCTTGGGGGTATGCATGTGTGGTATTTCACACAATGTTACCAACAATAATTTAGCCTCATATATTTCCATATGAAATAGACTAAATCCGACTGACCGAAGTCCATCCACGGTTAGATCCAGAATATATAGAGGGCGTCATGGAACAGGATAATTATAGACATCCAGGCCAACAAGCCTGACCTTATCCTGTTTGATAAATTCAACAAAATCATTTATATCATAGAATTATGTGTCCCTTTCGCCACTAATGTGATGGACATGATTCAGGAAACGTGTCCAATATGCGGACGTCGCTTATGAAATTTCACGCTTGAATCCCATGTTCCAGGTTGTTCGACTCTCCATTGTTTTCTGTGCCTTAGGATTGGTACCTCTCAATCCATTGTCTGACATTGGAGAGTACCCGGGTCTGCGACCAGGAACAAAGCCATTTGGCTATCTGGGTAATACAGAAGGCTGCAGTGTTGGGATGTCCTCACATTCTCTGAAGTCTTCTTGTAAGGTTCGACTAGGCAGCCTGACTGCGCCAGGATCACCCGAACTCTCTTTGCGGCATTTCTATATTTTAATCTGTAAATATTATCAACAATGTTCAGAATATTTTTTACGCACATGTGTTAAGTATACCACCCAAGCTGATATATGAGGCTGTAGCAGGTTTGCAATTACATTACCATCTCATATCCTACTGAGTACCCATTTTGTGCTGGGTGAACAGAGACAGGAACAGGAATCTGCTTGTAGCACAGATTTCTTAAGACTATGGAAATGATTGTTGCTTTTATTTATGTAATTATTGTGCTGGTTCATTCGACAATAACTTAATCTTAACAACGATATCTTGACTTTTAGATATTCAAAGAATATATTAATAATTTTGAATTGGTGTTGATGCTTAAGTATTGATTCTGTAATTTATTCTACGTGGGAGATGAATCATGTGGGCTCCAGATGGTGGCGATCAGCGGCTGATGCTGTAGTGTAAAAACAGCCAAAGGTCACAGATTTTGGTTTTACAAGTGATTTATGATCCACTTACTACGTGTTAACCCTTAAAGATATGCCTTTGGTGATATTATCCATTATAATAAAATGAGTACACGATTTGTCGTGTGTCGTATTGTTGTGTCATTTGTTGTCTAATGAAGGATGCACATGTTGTTCTCTACAAGCACCAAAAGCTAAATAACACTGTAATGTACCATAAACACTTTTATGATGAGGCTTCTGGCTGTGTATGACGAACGTCATGGTGGAAGTCGTGACCGGATGTCAATAAGCGTACCAGTTGCAGCCATAAAAACCTTTTTTGTAATCTAAACACGTTTCTCTAACACATGCAGTTGACTTAAATGTGCAAATGAATATCTTCATCACCAGTAATTGTCGTTGACCCGATACACAAAAGTGCCATTACCTGTGGTTATGTTCTTGAGCAGATTGCTGTAAACTCCTTGCTGTTTTGAGAATTTAATGTCTAGGGATTTAACAGCGCTGAAAGATTAATCTTGAGGTTATTTATTTGACTATTAAGTGATTCAAAATTAAGAAACTAATTCACAATTCTATTTTTGTCCAAGCAAATCCTATGTTCCTTTGACACGTTATTGTGAACTGTCTGCTCAGCTTTATTGATACCCAATTTCAAATGATCTGCTGGTTGTAAAAGGCGACAAGATAGATCCCGGATGGTCAGACTCGGTGACAAGGTGCATAACCGTGTCATAATCAACGTCGTGGAGCGTTGTTCACGATATCAACCACTCAGTTATTTACATCCTTCATATAGCTAGTATATTGCTGAGTGCGTCGTTAAACAACAAACAACAACTACTACTACTACTTCTGCTACTACTACTACTACTACTACTTCTACTTCTACTACAACTACAACTACATCTACTACTACTACTACTACTACTACTACTACTACTACTACTTCTACTACTACTACTTCTACTACTACTACTACTACTACTGGGGCGGTCGGGTAGCCTAGTGGTTAAAGCGTTCGCTCGTAACGCCGAAGACCCGGGTTCGATTCCCGACATGGGTACAATGTGTGAAGCCCATTTCTGGTGTCCCCCGCCGTGATATTGCTGGAATATTGCTAAAAGCGGCGTAAAACCACATACACTCACTCACTCTACTACTACTACTTCTACTTCTACTACTACTACTACTACTACTACTATTGTCATGCCCCTATTCCATTGGGCGAGAAAAGCAAAATAGCGGTGAAAGTTATATGAATGGATACTTAAAATCAGTGACGACAACGCTTCTTGTTTTAACAACAATATCAACGATCTTTAGTGATCCATTCGTAAATGTCCATTACTACTTTGCCCTTTATGTCCTGTGGAATCTGTGTTGACGTTTTCTGTAAGCACTCACTCACACACTCACTCACTCATAGCCACTGTTGGCCTTTTGTGTTCCTCTTACTGTAAGGCTATGTGCTAAATTTAACCTTTTTGGTCATTTTGTCCCGAACGACGTTAACAGAGATTACGTTCGGGACAAAATGACCAAAAAGATCAAGTGTAGCAAGAATATATATATGCACACACACGTAGTTCACAGAGAATGACAATACAGGATATGAATGAACTTATTGCTGTTCATCCTCGATCTTGCACTTTCTAAGCTGATTCTAGTATCTATTTTGCGACACGGGTGGCCACATTGTCTGAGGTGCAACAGTACGTTGTGTGGAATTGCTTCCCAGGAACCAGGCTCGTGCGTTTGAATCCCAGATTCACCCCTATTATTGTTTTAGGTTTGTGAGAACCGCAGCCATGCTAGTGGCTTGCACAACAGTGATCAACGTAAAAGACATGACATTAAGTAATGACATCGCAGTAATGATATGTTTTAACTTGAGGTGGTTTGACATGCTAACAGATTAACAATCAATTGTTTGATCGGTATTACATAGAAGTTGACGGATGGCAGAGTAGACACAATTTATGGATAACAACTTTTTTAATACTGTTAAGGCGACGTTTCCGTATAGATCCTTATACCGTTGTCAAGCAAGACTGAATGAAGACTGACTGACTGATATAGAAGATTTAACGTGCGCTTTCCGACTGCAGCGTATTTCGCACACGGGCCTGGCCAGACCATTTAGTGTATTCCGAGAAGGGTGAAAGTGGTGTGTGCAACCCAAGAGGGGGCTTTTAGGGGTTGCTTATATCGATTTTTTGAAATTTTAAAATTTGGAATAAATGCCGAGGTGGGGGGAGGAGGGAACTAAGGGAGCCGGGTGAGGTGGGTGTTTGTATGTTTATTGGATTTTGGATTGGTAGATTAATTAGTTTTTAGATGCGCTTAATTAGGCCTGTTTTGATTAGGAATACGCCTAGGGCCTTGAAGTTTTCTAGTTTATTTTGAGGGTTTAGTATTTCATCTAGAGTAGGAACCTTATTTAGATTGAGGTTGGTTTGTAGTGTGGTTCTGTGTGTTTGGTAGTGGGTGCAGTGGATGAGTGCGTGTTCTGTGGTTTCGGGTTGTTTGCAGTGGGGGCAGTTGCCTGTGGTGTGTCTTTTAAGTTGTTTTAGGTGGTTATTTAGGTTCGTGTGTCCTGTTTGGAGTTTTGTAATTAATCTGTCAATTTATTTAGAGGGGTGTAGGATTTTAGGTTTGGCTAGTGGTTTTCTGAGCACTTTTTGGATTTGGCTATTTGAGTTTTGGTATTGATTATGCCATTTTTTGGTTATTTTTTGTTTGTTTATACTTTTAATTTCTGATTTTGAGATGGGTAGGTTTAGGCTTATTTCTGGTATTTTGAGAGATAATTTAGCTTCTTTATCGGCGCTTTCGTTGCCGTAAATTCCTACGTGGGCGGGGATCTACAAGAAGGTTATTTGCTTTTGTTAGGTCGTTGGAGCTTTTAAGTATTTGGTTTATTAATTAAGGTCTTTTTTGGTATTTTTGTTTTGGAGGGCTTGTAGCCCACTAAGCGAGTCAGTGAGAATTAGGATTTTTTTGTTGTTTTTTTATTGTTGGTTATGCAGGGCTGAGGCCATGCCCATAAGTTCGGCCGTGAATATAGATTGGTTGTTAGGGAGTCGGTAAGATTGTGTGGATATAACTGGTTGCGTGGTATGGACTCCGAAACCTGTGTGGTTGGAGATCGGGTCTGAAGATCCGTCAGTGTATATGTGACACCAATTTGGCCAATTTTCGTGTATGTATGAAAGTGTGGTGGTTTTAGCTATGTTTGGGTCAGTTTGTTTATTTATTTGGTTAGTTAGCGTTGTGTCTATTTGGGGTATTTTGAGTTTAGGGGTGAAGATATTTGATTTTTTGCAGTTTTGTTTAAGATTTTGAGTTTGGTGTTCATTGAGGTAGTTAGTTATTCTTTGGGATATTGGGGTGAGTAAGGGGTGTTTGCGAGCTAGAGCTTGGTCTAATGTTTTGGTTAATTAGATTTTGGATGAGAGGGTTTGTTTGGGACGCGGCCCAGAAATTAAGGCTTAGACGATCCCTGCGTAGATTTAGTGGCATTTCTCCTGTAAGGGCCTGAAGTGAGGTGTAGGAGGTGCCATGTTGGGTGCGTGTAATTAGTTTAAGGGCTTGGTATTGTATTGAGTCAAGTTTTTTAGATAGAGAGTTGTTTAGGGTATTGTATATGGCGCAGCCGTAGTCTAGTTTTGATCTAATTAGTGTTGTATATAGTGAGAAGAGGGTGTCTTTGGAGGCTCCCCAGTTAGAGCCGGTGAGACATCTTAATGTGTTAAGGTCTTTGCTGCATCTAGTTTTTAGGTTTTGGACGCGAGCCTACCAGGTGAGGTGTTGATCGAAAATAAGTCCTAAGAATTTGGTTTGTTTTTGGAATTTGATTGTTTGGTTGTTTAGCTGGAGGATTGGGTAGGCAGGTTTCATGTTTTTATGTTTGAATACTACTCCTGTTGTTTTATCTGAGTTAAGGGAGAAGCCC